GTTATTGTGTAAGCAATAAGTGTAAATATCCTCAACATCCTTAAGGAACCAGTTTGCTACGTAAAAATTTGTTTCCATTATTATTGCTGATATCGTTTAGATTGATTACCTTTAGTTAATGCTTGTGTTATTATTATGACTATTATTATTATTATTGTTTTTATTAACTTTGATATTGATATATTTTGTTTTATTATTGATATCATGATCAATTATGATATTGATGTAATTATTGCTATTACGTTATTCTTAGCTTTGTATGTAATGTCACTTGTGTATTTTATTTGTTTTGTTACTGTTCCTCTTTGTCGTTTACATGATTATTATTTATTTATTTATTTTCATCATTACCATGACTGTCGTAATGTTATTTCAGCAGCTATTTTGTTTGTTTTCTTTTGACTTTTATTTTAGAAAATTATATTACTTTCACTTATTTGATAGCTATGTTATTACTATTGATTTTTTGGTGATATTGTGATATACTTTTGTTCTTGATATCATTAGCGTAAACTAGCTATTATTGCTGTTATAATGATTATTATCATCATCTTCATCACCATTGTTGCTATTGTTATTATTTTTAGTATTAGTAGTAGTAATGGTAGTATTTTTATTATTTTTGTTGTTATTACTTTTATAATAATTACTATTAGTTGTAGCAGTAGTATAATCATGTGTATATATATATATACATATATATATATATATATATATATATATATATATATATATATATATATATATATATATATATATATATATATATATAATGTCTATATATACAATTTCATTTATTTATATTTATTTATTTATTTATTTACTTATTTTTCCTATTATCTTTATATTATTGTTGCTGTTGCTATTATCATTTTATTTGTTATATTATTTTTGTTATTATTATTATTATATATGTTTATTTATTTATTTTTCCTATTATCATTATATTGCTGTTGCTATTATTTTTTTATTTTTTATTATTATTTGTATTATTTTTATTATTATTATTATTTTTTTTTTATTTATATATTTATTTTTATCTTTATATATATGTATATACATATAAATATATATATATATATATATATATATATATATATATATATATATATATATATATATATATATATATTATATATATGTATATATTTTTTTTTTTTTTTTTTTTTTTTTTTTTTTTTTTTTTTTTTTTTTTCCCCATATATTTTATTCAGTGATATTACTGCTGTCATTGTTTTAGCATGGTGTTTTTATCCCTATTGATATCATTATGTATTTTTTTTATTATCATTTATATGCATATATTTTTAATGGGTATTATTGTCATCATTGGCATCATCTTTATTATTATTATTATTAATATTGTTATTGTCATCGTCCTTATTCTCACCATCACCAGTTTAATTTTTTGTTTGTTTTTTATTATGATTATTATTGTTGTTATTATTATTGTTGTAATTATTATTGTTATTATTATTATTATTATTATTATTATTTTTATTATTATTATTATAATTATTATTTACTTTATTATTTTCATTATTGTTTTCATTATCATTATTATTGTTATTATTAATATTATTTTTATTTTTATTATTATGAACCATATTCATGTTGGCAGTTTTATAAAAGGTATGAGAGGGAATGAATATTTTCTCAATACAAAAGACGTATTTGACTGGTTTCAGTTACATTCAGTCTCTTTCATACCTTTTATATATTTATTATTATTAATAATATTTATTATTATTATTTTAGTTATTGTTTTTATTATTATTATTGTTGTTGTTGTTGCTGTAAATGTTATTATTGCTATTATTATTTTTTTTATTATTATTATTACTATTGTTGTTGTTGCTACTATTATTATTATTGTTATGATTTGTATAATTATTATTGTTATTCTTTTTGTTATTAGACTATGAATATTATTATTGTTGTCATGATTATTATGATTATCAATATGGTTATTATTATTGGCATTATTATTATTATTGTTGTTATTGTTGTTGTTGTTGTTGTTGTTAATGATGTTGCTATTACTGTTATTGTTATTATATATGATGATGACGATGATGATGATTATTAGTAGTAGTAGTGGTAGTACTGTGGCTACTACTGCTACTATACTACTACTACCACTACTACTATTGTTATTTTTATTATCATTGTTATTATTTTTATTATTATTTTTATCATTATTTTTTATTATTATTATTATTTTTATTATTATTTTAGATATTATCATCATTATTATTGTTGTCATTATTATTGTTGTTATTATTATTATTGTTATTATTATTATTATTATTATTATTATTATTATTATTATTAATTTGATATTATTATGATTATCATTATTATTATTATTATTATTATTATTATTATTGTTGTTGTTACTATTACTGTTGCTATTATTTCCATGATTATTACTGATATTCTACTAATACTATTATTATCAGTACTTTTATTGTTAATTCTTATTTCAGTTTTATTTACCATTATTTGTTATCATTATTATATTTTCTTAATGTTAATTTCACTATAGGCATTAACATAACCATTTTTACTATTAATTTTTTTCTACTTCACTTAAAATTATTGTTACCAAGAGAATACACTATTCTACTAGTCCATAATGTATCAGTATTCCATGCTGTTTTAATGGTGGCAGTTCACAGTGTTCAGAAGGCTTTGGGGCCAAGTGACTGTCTACTTTAGTGAGTAGGTTTTTTCACCTTGTCAGCAGCATATATTTGTATGGTAGAAGTGGTGAGGACTTGGCTTGTGTGTTTTTGCCATTTGCTAAGGCTCCTTCCTGCTTCTGCCTTCTCCATGTTCCTCTGTGCTTTTTATTCTTGTGGACTGGTTTTTTAATTTTCTTTTCTTTTAATTTCTTCTTCTTTCGTATTTCCCCCTTTTTTCCCCATTTTTTCTGCTGTGCATCCTTTCTCTCCTTTTTCCTTTCTTTTCCCTTCCGTCATCATCTTCCCTCTTTCTTTTACCCTTTTTCCCCCCATGTTCTATCTCTTTCTTTCCCTCTCCTCTTCCTCTCCTTCTTTCCCCTTTTCCTTCTTCCATATTCCTCCTCTTTTCTTTCCCCTTCTCTCTTCCATTCCACACTGAGACTGTGATTCATTCATTGATGATGTAATTGGGATGTACTAGAGGCATATGTACTATAGATTTTTTTTTTACCTTTATTAGAATGCATTTTGCTTTCCTTCTTTTGTTATTTACTGATAAGTTTTATTTTTCTTTTGTTTGTGTGTGTTTTTTTTCCTTTAGCCATTTCTTTCTCTTTTCCAGATGTATAAGAAGACGAAAACAAAAAAAAGATTTTTTTTCTTTTTTTCCCCCCCCATCATGCGGTCCAAATTGTGCGCAGGTGCTCATATCATGTAGCAGACACAGTGTTGCTGTTGATGTCCCCACAGTGCAACCATTTTAACTAATGCCAGCGACAGCCAGCTTCTTCGGTTTACCTCCTCCCTGTTCCAACTTCCGGAGGATGTACCTGGTGGAGCTCATCCCAAACAAATGTGTGGGTTTTTTTCGGTCTGTACCTTGATTTTTGTTTAGTTATGTTCTGTTAGGTTACAGTGATAAGTGGTAGGCTTCATTTCACCAGGAAAACAAGCCTACTCATATGTGTGTGTGTGTGTATGTTAGGAAACAGGTCTTGTGGTGCTATTTAAGAAGGTAACAGAAAGTCTAGTAATTCTTTAGTATTGTTACAGCTATTGTTACTATTATTTTTGTTGCAATACATGGACAATTATACACAGTCTAATCCAAGAATGGCTTTATATGGCAATTCAAGTTCAGTTTTGTAGCTCAATCCCATTATCAGGTTTACTTGTGTTATAGGTAAAACTATCACATAGTTCTTTTATAATCTTGGTATATATATTAGCATCATTTCTAACCTTATGCTTCACTCTTGGTAAAGTGTCAGAACATTCCATAAAGTTGATTTAAGTGTCCTATTTGATCTTGTTATTTTATACAGCATTCACACCAAAGCTTTTTCCCTTCTCTTTTTTCCTCTAACAAGTGTATATCATTAGACTGATTGCTTAATTTGAATATGGATTTTTAAAGGGGAATATTACAACAAGATATGTCACAAAATTGTTTCTTGTAGGGATCTTAGCGACTGGTAATGACCCTCACAGTTGCCAAGAGAAGTCAGACGATAACAAATGGAGTAGATATTTATTTGTTACAGGGCAGTAGACATGTACATGATCTAGTGCCATAAACAGCTGTCTGTAGAGTTAGCGCTCTTGTATAGGTTTTTATCATGAAAAAAAAAGAATCCTGTATGTTTCTTATGCAGAAAAGGAAAATGTAAATATTTATTAAAAATATAAAACAGAAAAAGACTATTGGAAGTTCAATTTTCCCTTCTGTTATGTCTTGCTTTGTAGTTTAAAGTAGTGATCATGGCACAGAAAATGAAAAGGAACTATGTTTCACCATAAGTTGGAACGATATTGAATTATGTGCTTGCATGAGTGTGTGCATGCGTGTATATGCATGTTTATGTGAGTGTGTGTCTGTAAAAGTACATTTGTGTGTGTGTGTCTGTAAAAGTACATTTGTGTGTGTGTGTCTGTAAAAGTACATTTGTGTGTGTGTGTGTGTGTGTGTGTGTGTATTTGCATGTGTTTGTGTGTGTTTGCGTTTGAATATCAGAATATCAGATGAGTGTCCAAGTACACTAAATATTTTTCTTCACAATTTTTGGTTGATACACTGTGAAAAGGTTATAAGAAAATGAAATGTTGGAGTAAACACTACAAGAAATATATTCATTGAACATTTATTTCACAATGACCAAACAAACAAACAAAAAAATAATACAACTAGTTAATCCCTCCCCTCCCTTCCCCTCCCCCCACCCCCCAAAAAAAAAAATTAAACACCACTTTCTCTCCTTCCAAATCGTAACTTCCTTCCTTTTAATCTAAACGAGAAATTATATATGACCCTGATCCCTAGCACATTTATTTATCTCAACTATGAACTATTAATCTTAAACGAGAATGAGAAAAGAAGAGATCTCACTGGTCCAGCTGAGCCCGGGCAATATGAGACACCTTCTGGGCCCTCTGGATAACCTGAGGACACTTGGTCTTCCTCATAAAGCGGCAATCTTGGAAGAATCCCTCATTCCGTGGGAAGCCGTTGGACCCGTCTGCGTAAGTCACGAGGCCTGGGGGTTGTAAAAGTGAAAAGGGGAAAATGTGAATAAAGTGAGGTAAGTGTGTTTGGTTAAGGTGTGTGTGGGGTGTTTCTTTTCCTTTCTTTTTCTTTATTTCAGTTTTTTTTTTTTTTTCATATTTATCTGTTTTGTTCATTAATCATTTTTTTCTCCTTGTCTTCTGGCTTTTTCTTTCTCTCGTCTCTTTTATTTCCTGTGTCTTTCTCTAGGATTCTCTCCCTCTCTCTCTCCCCCCCTCTCTCTCTCCTTCTCTCTCTCCCTCTCTCTCTCTCTCATTCACTCATTCTCCCATTCTCTCCTCTCTCTACCCCCCCCTCTCTCTCTCTCCCTCCCTTCCTCCCTCTTCCTCCCTCTTCCTCCCTCTTCCTCCCTCTTCCTCCTCCCCTTCTTTCCTCGCCCTCTCTCCCCTCACACTCACCGAGGCCCCAGATACGTCCTCCCCTGAATTCTCCCTCGAACCTCATGTTGTCGTTTCTCCAGAAGATTCCATGGCCGTGGAACCAGCCTTGCATGAATTCCCCCTCGTATCTGTGTGTGTGGGGGTGGGGGGGGATAGGTGTTTGTTGGGAGAGAAAAAAAAGAAAGGTTTTTGTTATTATTTATTATTATTATTATCGTTATTAGGTGTAGCCCTGTCTCTTATCACTAAAAGGGAATGATATTGTTATTTTTTGTATTATTGTCATTGCTATTTTTATTAGTATCATTTATTATTGTTGTTATAATTATTATTATCATCATCATCACCAGAATTATTATCTCATCATTATCGTTATCATCATTAATATTATTACTGATAACGATAATTATTATTAGTATACCCATGATCACCATTATTATTATTATCTTTATTATCTATATTACTGTCCGTCTTCTCCTCTCACTCATCCTCACATCCTTTCCCCATCATCTCCTTTCCCCTTCTCTCCCATCCCTTCCTAACTCCTATCCTCTCCCAACCCATCACCCTTCCCCACCCCCTTTCCCCCTCCCCCCTCCCCAACCCTTTCCCCTTTCCCCATCCCTCAACCCCCTCCTCATCCCTTCCCCCCCATCCTTTTCCTCAATCCCTTTCATCCCCTTCCCCATTCCCTCCCATCTCTTTCTTCCAACATCTTCCCCAACCCTCTTCATCCCCCTCCCATCCCCTATCCCTCCCAACCCCTTTCCCTATCCCCTCCCCCCCTTCCCCCATCCCAAAACCCATATCCCTCCCATAACCCTTCATCCCCTCCCCCCCCATCCCCCATCCCCAAACCCCTTTCATCCCCTCCCCCCCCTTCCCCCATCCCCCATCCCCAAACCCCTTTCATCCCCTCCCCCCCTTCCCCCATCCCCCATCCCCAAACCCTTTTCATCCCCTCCCCCCCTTCCCCCATCTCCCATCCCCAAACCCCTATCCCTCCCAACCCCTTTCCCTATCCTCCCCCCTTCCCCCATCTCCCATCCCCAAACCCCTATCTCTCCCAACCCCATTCCAACCCCCTTCCCCTTTCCCTTCCCATCCCCCCTCCCCTACCTCCACCCCCTATCCCCACCCCCTTTTTCCCATTCCCCCTCCCCCTTTCCCCACCCCCCATTCCCCCTCCACCCCACTCACCTAGCTCCATCGGGGAAGTGGATGACCCCCAGGCCGTTGAAGAGCCCCCCCTCGAAACCCCCGTCGTATCGAGTGCCGTCGGGGAGTGCCAGGTGGCCCATGCCGTGTTTCTGGCCCTTGTCGTTCCAGTCGCCGACGTACTGAGTGCCGTCGTCGTACTTGTAACTGCCGTACTTCACGACGCCGGGGATGGTGCCTGGGGGGGGGGGGGGGGGGAGATGGGAGGGAGAACGGGGGTGAGTGTGGTGGAACGAGAGAAGTAGGGGGGGGGGGGGGGAGATGGAGGGTAAAGATGGCGAGGGGGAATGAGGGAGGGGGGAGAAGGGGTTATGGGGAGGGGGGGAGAGAAGGGGTTATGAGGGAGGGGGGAAGAAGGGGTTGTGGGGAGGGGAAAAAAGGGTTATGAAGGGGGGGAGAGGGTAGGGGAAGAATGTGTTGTGGCGATGGGGGGAGGGGGAGGAATTGTTCCAATCCAAAGCAGAAATTGAACGACAGGTGGAATTTCAACCAAACAGTAACATCCAAAACACATATTACGAAAGGGCAGTGGCTAAAAAACAACATGAAATAGAAAACGTATTTTGACAGTTATAATGTGATGTTATACACACTCATATACAAAAGAAAAGAAAGTAATAATGAAAGAAAAGAAAACAAATATAAGCGTGCG